ATATATATATATATATATATACACATGATCATTTACACTGTAAGAACATAAAATGGTTAGACAAAGGTATTATTATTAGAAAATTTCACATTCAAATGTGTTTTTGTATTCCATTTCCTGGAATAGTTCAATAATTACGAAACACATGCTCCCATCTATCTATTAGTATTTCATAGTCCTACTGTGTAATGGTTTTCAGTTAATATGAAAAAATCAAAAACTACTTTCAAAACTTTTATTCTACCAAATACAGCATAAATTGTATTTTCTTTTGTTATTCTTTGAATTACAATTTATTTATTATTGCTTGTGTTAACTAAAAACAACCTGAAGGTGGCAGTAAAAAACCAGTGAAACCTTGCTGGGTGTTTGCCAGCAGTTTGTCCCTCTCCTCTCTGCTGGGGAATTGTGTTGTCATATGGTGATAATGTTTCCACTGTGTTTCTGCTCTTTATTTGAGCACCCCAGAGATGAATAAATGCCATATATGGAGGAAGTGGTCAGGGCAGCTTTTCTTCTGTTCATAGGACTGTGAGGTAAATCTTGGTCATGGCCTTTTTCTGCCTGCTTTCCTATGCTTGCTGTCTCTGTTGTATGGAAATAGGGTTCAGGAATTCCTCTATGGAAGAGGAATATATAGTATACGGTATCAGAAATATAAAAAAAAAAGAAAAATAAAACTTAAATGAAAGAATATGGCAATAGTTAAATCTTCACTCTATTTAAAAGGAAGCTTGTGTTTTCCAGTTTGTCCACTCTTTTGCAGAATCGTGGATCTTAAGTTTAAAAATGAGCTTAAAATATTTCATTCTGCAAATATTACCTCGTTTAAAAATGAGCTTAAAATATTTCATTCTGCAAATATTACCTCGTTTAAAAATTAGCTTAAAATATTTCATTCTGCAAATATTACCTCCTCCACTGTGACCACATTTTGGGTCTTGAGGTCTTACTGAGGTGACACATGCTAACCTACTGTATGAAACCAGTGAAGGGTAAATGTTAAAAGAGAATATGATGCACAGTCTGACATATTGCAGGAGGATTAAAGGTGCTGCCCTCCACCAAACGGTCAACATTCAGCTTTCAGGTGATGCTAATGCTCTCCAAATGGCCTTTCACCCAATACATTCCAGAAACCAGGAGGATGAATAAGTCATATGTTAAAAAAGAAAAAAAAAATTATATAACTCATGACTCACCAGCTATGAAACAAGACAGAGAGAAACCGGTCCTTCTCTGCAACAACCAAATAACGATTGCATTTCTTTTGGATGTATTCACCCTGACAGCTGGCCTACAGCGATTCGCAGTGGGGTAAAACAAAGCAGGGGTCCCTCAACAATACTGTTAGAGCATAACAGCCCAGTATTCTTCTGTGACATAATTTATGCATATAATTCTTTTGCAATAACCTGAAAAATTGTTATGGCAAAATCAACATAAATAGTTTAAGGTGTAACCTTCACTCTATTTCAAGATTATTTTGAATGCATTAACTGAAAGCTGTTAATTAAACAGTTTTAACCGGAAAAGGTTAAATTTGAGACATTTTATTTACAGCACACATTACCATGAGGTTTTTAAGGAGCCTGATATTCTGGACATCTGCTTGAAAGACTCCCTCCCTGCTTTCCTACTTTGGCTTTTCTTTTGACAGAGGTACAATGAGTGACAGTGATGTGCAAAAAACATCAGCAATGGCAGCTCTGATCTTTCTGTCAGTGCCAAAGTACAGGCAAAGTGGGAGTTTGGGAAGCTGAGAAAGAAAGAAAGAAAGAAGGGACACTTTTTATGCACTCAAATGCCTATTTCTCTGTCCCAAACATTCACCAACTAGCACTTTCCATCCTGCTGGGAATCTGAAAAAGGTTGAGGGGTGAAATAACTAGGCATAATTGCCAGGCTTGGCAGACAGGCGCTAGGCTCTCACCAAATGTTCAGTATGAGAGCGAGATTATAAATGAAGAATGGGAGGAAGAGGAGGAGGAGTTAAGCGGGTGCCAAGATGCCTTTCAGTTGAGAGCATGGCTCATCTGAGAAATGAGGATAAGGAAGCTGAGAAACAGGGAAGTGGACAACTTAAAAGGGAAACAGAAATGAGAGGAGATGGATGGGTTAGATAGACATCAATGGATCAGTTAGTGGAGGTGCTTAGTAAATGGACATTAACAGAAGGAAATGCTTCCTTTTTTAAAACTTCTCAATATTGCCGTTTTAAATATTGAAATTTGTGGACGATAACTAAATGTGTAAGACCATACGACTGTTTAAAATTTACGGTAAGCTCAGATCCAGAGATCAGATTGATCTTTACAAACCACACGGTGCATGTGTATGAAGATCTGAAACCATGAGTGCCGCCTCCATCAGAAGCCCTCAGAGTGTCCTAGTTCAATCATCAAAGTTAATAAGGCTGTAAGATGCAAAAAGGTCTGAAAGCAGGTCAAACAACTGACAGCACTTTTCTGTCGTAACAAAGAGTGGCAGTAATAACACACAAAAAAAAAGATCTTTAAAGAGAGACCATTAGAGAGGGAAGTGGTTGGCTGCTATAGCAACTAACCTCGGCAAAAATATATACATTTGAAAAAAAAGCAGATACTAGGGAAATTGATGGAGAAACAGAAGTTAGAGAAAATATAAATAACACAGATGAATTCACCTGCTCCTATTGCAATTAATACTGCAGTACAGCTAGCTGAGGCAGAAAGTCAGAAAAGTTAGTTTGAGACAGATAACCTGTGAAAAAAATCTATCTATCTATCTATCTATCTATCTATCTATCTATCTATCTATCTATCTATCTATCTATCTATCTATCTATCTATCTATCTANCTATCTATCTATCTATCTATCTATCTATCTATCTATCTATCTACCTACCTACCTACCTACAGTGGACAGCGTCAAGGAGGCTAATGAACCAAAATTGGTTTTTCAAAATGACAATAAATTCAGCATAATCAAATAAAATCCAAAATCTTAATGGAGCATCTATGGGAATTTATATTATTATGCAGCTAAGAAAGCTGAATGGGTTGCTATGGTATGATTTTAGCCAATTCTTCCAAATTAACGTCCATTAAATTTTTTTTGCTTTCATGGGCTCTTGATATGAACTCTAAGATTTAATGTTGTCCACAGTATTTTTATAGGGTTAAGCTCAAAGGAATGTAGCTTTATTTCTTTAGTAGCTTTATTTTAGTTCTCTGAAAGCACTTAAGCCTCTTTGAACGGGTGTTTGGGATCATCAAGTTTCTGAAATATCTACCCTTGTTTCATCATTATCATCATCATCATCATCATCCTGATGAAGGGGAAGCAGAAAACCTGCTGTACATAATAATGTTGTTCATATCTTCATATTTTACTGTTGTTTTAGGGTATGGAGTACATGGAGTACCTTTTGATCTCCAAACATGGTGTGTATTATGGCATCCACTATTATTTAAATGTTGGCCTGCTTTGATCAGAATAAACTATCCTATTTGTGTACATAATTTTAATCACACTTCTAATGTGATTTATCGACAGCTTCTTCAGCATTGAAGACTTATGATATGAAACAACTGTCGCTCTTTGAGAAATCTTTTATCTCTTCCATCTGAAATCCTTTTGGGAGAATGGAGCAATGGTTGGTTGATGGTTAAATGTCACAGTAACTATCATGGTAATATACTCCAAACAGTGCTGGCTGAAACATTAGGTAAATTAGATATTCTGATGTTACTAATACCAATTTGTTTGCCAACAACAGAGTTGCAAAGGTCTTGAGAAAGCTCACTGGTTTTGCCCATCATGCAATTTATCATGTGTGACAACTTGGTAATTAGAGTTGGGTTTTTTCCGGCCATCAGTTGTCAGTGATCTAATTGATATTAATTTGCACAAAGTGGCACGATTGCTTTCTAATAACTGATAAATTGCATCTGATGTCATAGGTTTCCACGCCTTTTTGCACTTCCCTTCCACTCTGTTTTCAGAACTTTTCACCTGTGCCCTTCCATGTTACTGCACACAGGTTATACATTTTTGAGCAAAAGATTTCGTGCACCCTTTGGAAATATACATGCTCAAATAAATAAAGGGAACATGTAAACAACACAATATAACTTCAATCAAATCAAACTTCTGTGAAATCAAACTGTTTACTTAGGAAGGAAGAACATTTCATTTCACATGCTGTTGTGCAATTTGAATAGATGACAGGTGGAAATGATTTGCAATTAACAAGACACACTTAATAAAATAGTGGGTCTGCAGGTGGGGGACTACTCTCAGTAGTACCTGTGCTTTCTGGCTAATTTTGGTAACTTTTGAATGTTTTTCACACTCGTGGTAGCATGAGACAGACTCTGCAACCCACACAAGTAGCTCAGGTAGTGCCACTCATCCAGGATGGCACATCGATGCAAGCCGTGGCAAGAATGTTTGCTTTGTCTGACGGTGTAGTGTCCAAGCCAGACAGGCCAGCACACCAGGAGCCGTGGAGGAGGTCGTAGGAGGGAAAAACCTCAGCAGCAGGTCCACTACCTCCGCCTTTGTGCAAGGAACAAGAGGGGACACAGCCTGAGTCCTCCAAAATGACCCCCGGCAAGCCACAAATGTGCATGTGACTTTAATTACAATCTTTTTTATGACTCCATGAGGACTATATGAGGGCCTGACATCCACAGATGGAGGTTGTGCTCACAGCCCAACTCAGTGCAGGACGTATGGCATTTGCCAGAGAACACCAGCAGTGGCAAATTTGCCACTGGCGTCCTTTTTTCTTTACAGATGAAAGCAAGTTTACATTAAGAACAAGATAGAGTCTGGAGACACCGTTGAGAGCAATCTGCTAATGCAACATCCTTTGGCATGACCGATTTGGCAGTGAGTCAGTAATGGTGTGGGGTAGCATTTCTTTGGAGAGCCGCACAGCATTTCATGTGCTCGCCAGAGGTAGCATGACCGCCGTTTGGTACTAAGATGAGATCCTCAGACCTCTTGTTAGACATATACTGGTACAGTTGGCCCTGGGTTCCACTTAATGCCAGATCTATTGTGGCTGAGTGTGTCAGAAGTAGTGGTGTGTTTTTCCTCTTTAATTTTGTGTGCAACTCCAAATCCAGGCCTCCATTGGTTAAAAAATTTGATTTCCATTGATGATTTATCTGTGATTTTGTCAAAAAATTCAAAGTACATAAGTATTAGATAATATTTAATTTATTCAGATGTAAGATGTGTTATTTCAATGTTCCCTTTATTTTTTCTGAGCAGTGTATTTACCTTAAAACTAGTGCTGTATTTAAATCTTATTTTACATCCCTGGATGTCTGCCAACTGGTGTAAAGGTTATGCACTGGGATCCTGACAATAAGTGGCAGTTTCTGACCTAATCTACCAGCAGGGCAAAGACGGGGAAGGTATTACTCTAACAGGGGACCAGGGGAGACAGAAAAGAAAGCATGAAACTAAAAAATATGGCCATAGTTCTTCATTTTATATATTTAAGAGAGCTGCAGAACCAAAGAACCACTTGCACCCCTGCAAATATACCAAAGGAAAACAGTGATTCTACCTAAATATAAAAGAACCTCCAAGTGAATCACCTTAATCTTTTGTTGTTGTTAAAAATCACCTGTAAATTTAGAAACTAAAATAGGTCCAAGGAGAAAAATCACTGGACACTATACACCATAACAGGGGGCCAGGACCAGTACTACAGGCACACTGACCCCTCTTGGCCACTGCCTAGAACCGCCCATGCTCTGTTGGCATTTAACTATCTACCTCTTGTATTTAAAGAGAATTAATGACATGAGAGAATTGGCTACTCAAATCTCTCGAGTCACAGGGCAAGCTGTAACAACAATGGATTTTATACAAGGACATATGGCTGATTACATGTAGGTGTGAGTCTTCCAGCAAGTGTGAAAGATGCAATCAAGTCTTGTGAAGATAGAGAGGGCAAAAAATAACTAAAACAACGCCTGGAAAGAACACTAATTACTTAAGAGATTTAGGGATTAGGAAGAAGAGAGACACAATTAGCCAAATAAGCTTTCTTAATATATCGTGGTTAAATCTCTGCAACGGTGTCTGGGAATGCTTTTCCAGCTAGTTGCAGTTTTTAAGATAATCCTTCAACTTCCTATCTTTCATAACAGTATTCTCTATTCTAAATAAGTTGCAGTCATGCCCAATTACTTTGGTATGAAGCCATGTGATAGGCAAGGTTTGCTCACCTTAAGCACAGTGATGTTCCAGGCATAGCTTTCCATGGCCTTCTGAAGTTTACGACCTTTCAGACCCTCCTTTACTCCAATGCGATGCAGGTCTTCATGGAAGTCCAGACCTGGAATCGGACAGACTGACATGTTTCACCTAGAAGCAATGTCATTAAAACCACAAATGCCTCTAATGAGGCTATAGTTTGCTCAAGTCAAAATCACTTATTAATTTATTCAACTGTAAATATGGTTTAAAGGACAAAAACATCAGTTTTAGATGAGCCTGTGTTAGGCTTTAATAAATAATTCTTAATAAGGCAGAGGTAAGACTTGTTACTCAATACATGAAAAGTAAAGAGGAAACACCAGTACCATTCTGCATACAATTATAACTGATGTAATTGAGCAAATTTGTAAATTCAATTGTAAAGTTGTCATAAAGGACTTGGATACCTCTGTTAAAGTAGGAGCAATTTGTGAAAAAAAGAAAAAAAATCACCACAGTAAACAATCCTCCCATTGCATCCATTCAGGAAAAGAAGGGACATTCGGTGGAACTTTCTAAGCTGACTGGACAAAGCAATACCCACTGCTTACCAACTAAAGTTTAATTATGGCTAAGAAAACACACAAAAACTTCATATGCAGCAGGTGCTTAAAGGTATAGTGGAGGATTTTTGTGATTTTTTAAAGATTCCCACCCTCTCCATTTTACAAAAAAAAAAAAAAATGCACATGCACAACCCTGCTTCCTTGAGAGGAAACTATTTAACATGTGCTAGAGCATGCACAAGCCCATTTCTTCTTGTGCATGCTGTTTGCATCGCTCATACAAGCTTACTTCCAAAAGAAGATTTGCAACTTTTCCCACTATTTCAGACTCTTAACCCTAACCCAACCGCTAAGTAAAAATGCGGTCTGCCTTACGTAAACAGATCACCAAAATGTCAATTAGGAGGACCACTTATTTTTGATGATCCACCCAGAACAAGAACATCCTCCACTATACCTTTAACCTGGCAAGATGGATGTGTTGCACTCTTGGTTTAGTATTGCAAATATCATCAGTGTGTCTGCTATCCATTTTTTAAAGATACAATTGTGGATTCTGACAAAACAGGTGTAATAAAACAAGCTTAACATGCTTCCTCCTGCTCTTGCTTTCAACACAGCTGTAAGTCTCTCCGTTAACTATAATACTGCAATGTGATTGGCCAACTCGTGCTAGGTTGCTTCTTGAATGGTTGAGGCCAGAGGTGGGCAAGATAGACTCTGTTGTGTTTTTGAAGGCACAAATAAATAATAATAAAAAATTCAGTTTGAAGGCAAGTTTAGTCTTTCCATGTTATATCAAATTGTTGGTTTTGGTGGACTAAGCTTTAATATGTGAATATTTTAGCACCCTTCTCCTGATAGATACCTTTGCAAACTTTAATCAATGTTATACTACCCTCTTTTGCAGACCACAAGTTTATATAAGCATATGAATTTGCAAGAAAAAGTTTAATTACAGACATTAGCTACACATTAATAATGATAAGTGATGCAAGGTATTTACCTTAAAAAGCTGAATTCTGGAATTGCAACAAAGTTCAAGTTTAATGGTGAGCAAATTAATCTGTCTGTTGTACAATTATATATATATATATTTTTGCACTTTTAATTTCCATATGCGTTATTTAACCAACATTAAACAAACTAGTTGCATATAATATATGTCATATAAAATGTAAAACAAAACTAACATTTAAAGCTGGGTGGGTACACTTTAGAGAACAACTGTTTTTGAGAAAGAAACTTTGATGAGAGAGAAAAACAGGAACAGTGAGGCTGCATCTCCTTATGTAATGTCTGGCCTTGAGAACAGTTGTAAACGCTGTTGTAGCAGGGAGGCCCTGATTTCTAATCGGCACAGAGGGCCTTTGTGTGTTTGGCTGATCTGCTTCCAAATTAATGCTTTTTCAACCACAGTCCAGTTAGGATCAATAAGGCCAGTATAATTTATTTCTTTTTATATTTATGCCATTTGATTCTCTGGACCCATGTGATGGACTGGCATCCTCTGGATGTCTGGTGTTGCTTATAGGGCTAAAACTGAATTGGTACAACGGAGGCTAACCTCTAATTAGGCTTCAGAGTAGGTCAGGCTATGTTGCAGCAAAGGCAAAGCATTCCTAATCCATTAAGGGTTTAGAAGTAAACTCCCTTTAAACCTGTAAGATTCAGCTTGCCTGTAAGACTGTCCCTCAAAGATGACCTTAAGCAACAGAAGCTTTGATTTTCTGCACAAGGACTGAAGAAACAAGACAGGTCGATGGAATAAACTACATCTTGCAATATTTTCTTTCAAAGATGTTGCACCTCTGCTGTTAAAAAGCAAATTATGTCTTTTCTTAGAAAACTGGAGAATACTTAACCCAATAAATCCATCACATGTTTCTAACATAATAACTTAAATTGATCATTCTGAAGAAATCCTTTGAAGGGTAAATTGGCATAAGATTCAAAATGAAGCAACTGTTTCGATTAGCTATTTTTAATGCTCCATTTACAATGTCTGCTACGCTTTCCTAATTGTATAACTACAATAGATATAGTCCTACTAGAGAATAAAAGCCTGAAATTTATATTAAAAGAGATAAAGATGAATCTAATTTTATAATCTGCTACACTTAATGTGCAGCTGCTTCTACGGAACTAAGTAAGGGAGAGTGTGAACAGAGGATGGGACAAAAACAAGTAAGCAGGGAGCTGTAAAAGCCACAAAATTAGCTCCTGGCGCTTTGTACCAATATAGGTTCTTAGCATATTTAATCTGGCAATGATTACGAGTCATCTCTGGGTAACATTAACATGATTCCTGCTCCTTACTGTCACTTTAACTCTAGGAAAATCAGGCTAATAAGCAAAATGTGACCCCACGGCATGCTCTGAATACACACAGACTTTATAGCTTGCTTCACCAATGCTAAGAAAGCGGAGCTCAGAAGGAAGGATAAAGGAGACAACATCTCTTCAGAGTAACCACAGCCCATAGCTTTTAGATCTTATAAACAACACACCTATTTTGCATTTATAACGGAAACTGTACAACATTCACATACAAATCGTACCAGGCATGCAGGCAGATAGACTGCAAGGTTAGGGTTAGTAAATGACAAAATTAAACAGAATTGCTAAAGCCAATTTTGTTTCACTAAAAATAAATGGTACATGTTGAAAGGGATATTTTTATCCCTCAGATCAATGTTTGCTTTATTTATCCGAAATCAGACAGACTCCTGAATCCATGATAAGTGCCATCATTGCAAACACAGAAAGGGATGAGCTGGAAAACCGACATTACAGAGTAAAAGACAACAAAAGGGAATTAGATGTCTTTATCGTGGATATTCACAGCAAGAAAGCTGTCAAAAACACAATGAACAAATCCACAGTTTTTAGACACAGAAAGATGAACACACCAGAGAATTGACAAAACACGGAACACTTGATAACAAGATATTTTCATGGGGCCATAATTATTCAGCTCTATGTATTCTATTGTATTGCTTCATCTCTTCATACTT